TGGCCTTGCTTCGCGGCGCTGCCCATGGGCTGGAGCTGGGCGCTCTGGATCTGCCACGAGGTTCTCGTCGATGCGATGGTCGAGGCGGGGCTCCCGAGCGACGGCTGGTGCCTTGACAAAGCCCGGGCGCCGACTCTCGTCGGACAGGCTGTCGTCAGGGCCCCGTACGTCGACAATGGGAATCTTGTGTCGCTCAGCGCGCCGGCGCTCAACGACCGGCTGGACAAGCTCACCGCTGAGCTGGACCGTCGTGGGCTTCGCTGGCACGAGCTCGAGCGCGCGCAGCCCGGCCTTGTCATCTTGGGGCTGGTGCTCGACGGGCGCGAGGGCCGACTTCGGCACACCGCCAAGCGCGCCTGGAGGCTCTACCTGGCTCTGCACCACGTGCTTCGGATACCGTGGCTCGCCCGCTGGCAGGTGCGACGGATCGTCGGCCATCTGGTGCACTACTTCTCCGTCGTGCGCCCCGGGCTCAGCGTGCTGGGGGCCTGCTACACGTTCATCGGAGACGGCGACCTGTCCACTGTCGTGCGCTTGCCTGGAGATGTTCTCGGTGAGCTCGCAGTCGCTGCGGGGCTCGTCTTCCTCGGCGAAGTGGACTTGTGCCGCGTGCCGTCCGACATCGCCTTCACGACCGACAGCTCGCTGCGAGGCTACGCCGTCTGCGAAGCCCGGCTGGAGCCCTGGGAGGTGCTGGCGGCCACCAGATGGCGGGAGCGCCAGCGGTTCGTTGCCACCGAGCCCGAGGTTGCGCCTGACGACGAGCAGTACGAAGGACGGGCCGCCGGCTTCTGTGACATCTCCGAGCCACTGCCCGTCGAGCTGCCGCCCCGGCTGCGGCACGCCGTGGCCAAGAGGCGCCGGGTCGAGTTGGAGATCGGCGTCCCGCCCGAGCCGTTGGCGGACGCTCTGCTGGATGCGGGCCGCTGGGTGGAGCGCCGCCGTGGCGCGTGGCGCCGGCCAGGGCGTATCCACGCCCTCGAGGCGCGCGCCGCCGTCGCACCGCTATGGAGAGCGGCAGCCGATGTCAACTTCCACGGGAAGGAGATCCTCAGCCTGTGCGACAACATGTCGTCGGTCCTCGCCTTCGAGAAGGGCAGGGCCACCAATTTTGAGCTCCTGGCACAGTGTCGCCGGGCTGCGGCCGTCTGCTTCGGGTGCGAGATCCGCTGGCGCCCGAGGCGCGTGCCTGGCATCTACAACGTCGCGGACCACGGGAGCCGGGCGGCTGACCGGGGTGAGCTCCTCCCCGGACGCTACCGCGGGCGTGGCGCCCTGTCGGCGCCCACCAGCGGCAGCCGCCGAGTGCCCGTGGTCCCGCCAGCCGCGGGCAAGGCCGAGGCCTCGCCGACCACGGCTGTCGAGTTTGAGATCGGACGAGAGCAGGCCGAGCTGCTGGGGCCTGAAAACACCGAAAGAGACCGTTGCATTCCTTTACCTTTGTCACCTCAGCCCGTCTCTGACACGGATTCCCTTTCTTCCCAGAGTAGAAGGCATCAAGATGAAGTCTCGAAAGTACTCCCCAACGAGCGACCCCGACAAGATCGACATGAGCACGCTCGAAACCTACCTGTTGCACTCGAGCCTCCTGGAGTTCCTCTACGGGGCCCACATGTACACCTTGGGGCGCGCGAAGATCCTCAACAGGACCCTCCTGAGCGCCCTCGGCCTCTTGCGGTTCTACAACGGGGCCCACCTGTGCGTCTTGGGCCACACGAAGAGCCTCAACGGGCACTGGCTAAGCGCCCTCGGCCTCCCGAAGTTCTCCGACGGGGTCCCCCTCGTAAAGCCTTCCTCGAGATCTTCGCGGGTACTGCAAATCTCAGTGGTGCGATGCATGAGCGAGGTTTCCGGATCATGCCCCCAATGGACTCCAAGTATGGGCCCCGCTGTGACCTCACAAGCCGACGTGTCCAGCATCTCGTTGAACATTGGCTCAAATCGGCAGAAGTCTGGTGGGTCCACCTTGGCCTGCCCTGCACGAGGTGGGTGCCAGTCGGGGGCGCGCGCGATCCAGCGCCGGCGGACCGCACGCTTGTGGCGTTCACAGTCCGTGTCGTGCGACTCTGCCGGTCCCTGGGGATCTTCGTCACTTTCGAGAACCCGCCTGCGAGCCGTGTCTGGAGGTGGCCCGCGTTGGAGCGAGAGCTGCAGCGCCTTGCCTGGCCGAAGGTGCTGTTCGACTCGTGCAGGTTCGGCGCGCCCTTCAAGAAGCCAGGTGCGATCGCCGGGGGCCTTCCCGGGCTGGGCCATCTTGCACTGCGCTGCTGTTGCGCTTGCCGCCATAGGGTTGAGCTGCAAGGCAAGGTCCGGCATCCGACGCGGGGCTGGACGTGGCGGACGACTCTGGCCGGGGCTTACCTACCCAGCTGGTGCCGCCTGCTGGTCTCGTTGGCCGGCCCAGACGCCCCTCAGAGTGCTTTCGGGCGCTCGACCCAGGATGACCTCCAGGCTCGGGCTCACGCGCTGGCAAGCGCGGCCGGGGTCGCCGAGCTCCGCGGAGTCACGGCGCCGATCTGCCCGCAGCGCCTTCGGCTCCCCTGGAGGCCAGGGTGGGCCACCGCGCTCGACCCGCGGCCGCGCAGCCGCTGACGCGGCCGCTGCGCCAATGCCGGCGCAGCCGCGGTCGCGCTGGCAGCCGCGGGCAACGGCTGGCGTCGACGTCCGCGAGGCAGACGTCGATGCAGGCGCCGACTCAGCCGTGCTGACGCCCAGGCGGGCAGGCCGGAGCCAACGTGACCCTGTCCCTCGTCCAGTGGCCGTGGCCGCCCGGCGCCGCCGGGCGCAGGCTGCCGCGCGTGGAGACGTCGCTGCTGGTCAGCGGCAGGCCGCCCCCGGAGAGTACCTCCGCCTGGCCTCGCTGCGGCCAGCCACGGTCGACAGCTACACGCCCGCCGTGATCGAGCTGACCGACTACGCCAACCGCCGAGGCCTGCTGCTGACCACGCCGGAGCTGGCCGACGAGACGCTCAACTTGTACTTCGAAGACTTGTTCTTTGCAGGTGAGCCCCAGTACCTGGCTCGTAACGCGTTGTATGGGTTCTGCAAAGTTCGAGGATGGTCTGCTAGCCGACCTCGCTTCCATAAGGCCAAAGATGCTCTAACTGGTTGGTCGGCAAAACTGCCGACTACGCCGCGAGAGCCGCCGCCGTTCGAAGCCGTCCAGCTGACCTGTGCCGTGCTCGACAACGGGACCACGTCCGACCTGCTGGCGTGCCTGGCCTCCGTGACTGGGTTTGACATGTACTTCCGGCCAGGCGAGTTGCTCGCCATCAAACCAGAGCGCGTCTTCGGCTCTCGTACGTCGGGCAGGGCTTCCGACATCACCGTCGTCGTGGCACCGCTAGGCGACGACAAGCCAGCCAAGAACAAAGATTTTGACTGTACGGTGAAAGCCGGCACCGACTTGCCAGTTCGCCGAGTCGATCCCGAAATTCTCTCTAGGCTGCGAGCCCGTGCCAGACGTCAGAAGCTGCCAACTCTGTTCCACCCTCTGTCCCTTCCTCTCTTTGAAAAGACTTTGAAGCAGGCCGCCCACTCGGCAGGAGTTGGTGATCTCCTGTCAGTTCCTCACCAGTTGCGCCACGGAGGGCCCTCGCACGACGCTCTGAACAAAATTCGACCGATCGAGGCCATCCAGCAGCGCGGGCGCTGGCGCGCCCGAGAGAGTGTTCGTATCTATGAAAAGCACGGGTCGGCCCTTCGTCAGAGGTCAAAGCTCACTGAACTGCAGATCTCGTCAGCCGCCCGTTTTACTGACTCGACAGTTCGTGACATCCTCAGGCGCGTGTGCGCCACCTAGTCTTGTCTCTTCGCCCCAGCCTCAGACCTAACAGTGATAATGATTTATACCCACCCGCCCTCCCGAAGGGCATTTGACGATGGGGATGGGACGCAAATGTACTGTGTGTGTGTGTGTGTGTGGCAATTTTTGGTGATTGCACTTAGCCGCTGAAGTTGTACCACTTCCACGGCTCGTGTTTTTAGAGTACCACCGTGTGCCCCACGGCGCTTGCCTGATGAAAAAGGTTGATGACCCCTCGTCTCTCGGTTTAATCTGTGCGCTGTCGCTGTTTCCGCAGACCCCATGGGGTGGCCACGCCCTTATGATAGGAATGAATTGTCTCTGACTCGTTTTCCTAAGTGCGAGTGGCCTCGGGAGTTTCTGAGCAGTGGAGCCGCGTCCGTCTCGTTCGCTGCTCCTGCTGCTGCTCTCTCCCTCTGCTCCGAAACCGCTCCTGCTCAAGCTCCCACCCACCGTCCCCCACACACCACGCAAATGTACTGTGTGTGTGTGTGGCAATTTTTGGTGATTGCACTTAGCCGCTGAAGTTGTACCACTTCCACGGCTCGTGTTTTTAGAGTACCACCGTGTGCCCCACGGCGCTTGCCTGATGAAAAAGGTTGATGACCCCTCGTCTCTCGGTTTAATCTGTGCGCTGTCGCTGTTTCCGCAGACCCCATGGGGTGGCCACGCCCTTATGATAGGAATACATGTTGACCCTTATTTGATATGCGGATATGCTGCAAACTTTGAGACGAATGGGCGCGGCGCGAAGGCGAGATACGCATTTGGAAACTACATTTCCTATCCATCCGTGAAGCGGTTGCAAACTTCTACGACGAATTGGCGCGGTGTTGTGGCGATAACCGCATTATGAAGACCAGCCCCCTTCCATCCTGGAAATTTCTGCACACGTTTAAAAAGAGATTGTTGCGCTGTGGCGAGAACCGCGTTTTAAACCACCCGTCCTCCATCCGTGAAGCTGTTGCAAGTGTGTAGGACGAGTCTGCGCGGCACTGAGGCGATAAGTTGGTTGTCGTCCGATGAGCCACATCCCGCAATGAAATCCTGTAGGGACCCATGAATGTGGATCGCGGATCCTCGTCTTTCATCTTCCAAATTCCTCCTTCTCGTCCCTTCTCCTCGCTCATCTCTCCTCCCCTGTTCGCTTCTCCTCTTCGCTCATTCCTCGCTCCCTCCCTCTCTGCCCGGCGAGGCAGCGCCCTGCACCTCTACCACGTCAACAGCTCCGCCCCCGTGGGCGTGCGCCTGCGCTTTTCGGACCCCGACATGCCTGTGGACTGCAGGCCGGTTCGGCCTGCCATCGCTGTCGCCGCCGCCGATTTTCGAGGCTCGAGAGTCGAAGTTCCGCGTCCTTCCTTGCTCCTCTCCCTCAACCATTCCTCCTTCTCCTCCGCCCCGTCCTCCCCGTCCTGTTCCTCCTCCTGCCCCTCTTCCTCCTCCTCCTTTACCTCCTCCTCCTCCTCCTTCTCCTCCTCCTCCTGCTCCTCCTCCTCCTCCTCCTCCTCCTCCTCCCGTAACCAGTTTGGCTCAAGATGTTCTGTTCCCTCGGGCAGAGAGTGGACATCTCTAGTCCGAGGCTAATCAGCTTCCGTTTTTTTTGCAAGCCCAGTCGAGCTGCGCGCTGCTGGGCCCAAGAGCTCCTAGTCTTCGCCACTTTCCTTTGTCTGGTCGCAGCCGCCAACGGCCAGACACCATCACCATGTCTAAGTGGTGGAATCAGCATCAGAAGCAGCGCCACACTGTGAGCACCGCTGCCGGCTGCAAGGGCTGGACCTGGAGCAATCAATCTGGGCACACGCACTGCAGCTGTTGTGGCAAACAAGTCCAGCGGGCCAGTCAGCGTCGGGAGGCAGCACCCAAAGCAGATCGTGGCAGCCATCCTCAGGGCTCCAACCGTCGCGATCGATGGGGCAGGCGCGCTGGCGGTGACACCGTGGATCTCACCCTAGAGGGCAAGGAAGGTGACGGCCAGCAGGCTGCTGTTCAAGATGAAGTTCAGATCTGCCTGGCAGCACTCTCCTTCTGGAAGAAGACCGTCGGGCCCTCGGGGAAACAGGACCAACAGGCCCAGGAGGATTTCAAGCAGGCCAAAGCCCAAACCCTCAACCGCAAGAGCCTCGACTCCAAGGCCCAAAGCTTGACGGACCAACTCCTGCGTCAAAGGCGCCGCCTTTTGGCCAAGAAGGGCGAAGTCGAGAAGGACCTCATTTGCCTGGAGAAGGCAGCCAGCCTCTACGACCAGCCCATTCAGAGCTACGCAGCTACGCCGAGTTGCAAAGGGAAGTCTCGCGGCTTGAAGCTCAGCATTCTTCATCAGCTCGGGCTGCCGCTGCCGGGGCGGTCGCAAAGTTCGAGCAGACTCCGACCACCCTCCTCCAGTTCGCGGACGGCAGTTTTGGCAAGGGAGTGCCTCAGTTCGTTCCGGAGCAGCAGCGTCAGCATCAATTACTTGGAGAACCCGAAGAACCCAGCAGCACCGTGGCTCAAGACACGCCAGTCCCAAAATATTCCCCGCCAGCCATGGAAGTTGGATTCAGGGACGGCTGCAAGAGGAAAGAGGTCGAGCTGCTGGGCGCGGCCGCCGCGCGCCCAGTCGAGGGCCTCTCCGACGCGGCAGCGCAGGCGCAGGCCAGCCTGGCCAAGCGCGCAGCCCTTGCGTCCTCCAGGACGGCCAGGTGCCAAGGTGGATCTAAAGGGTAACACTTTGAGTATCTGCGCGCTCAACAGAAGCAGTTTCACAGGAGTTCGCAAGTTTCTACGTTCAGAAGCGGCCAAAGGGGTCCAAGTGATATGTTGCCAGGAAGCCCGTATTCTATCTAACGAATCGGATCACGGAAAGCAGTGGTGTGCTAACAGGGGATGGTTATCAGTTTTGGCATCAACGATTTTCAGTCCAAAAGAGTTTATCTGTAAGGGTACTGGAATCCTAGTACGCGCGAGCCTCCATTTCGGCATCTCTCCCCTGGGCGTGCTCGTCGATTTCCTTATGTCGCCTGCCGCCGTCATTGCTCTTGAGGTCCCAGGACATCGTTCCTGCTGCCTAGGATCTACTCATCTCGCGTACACTGCCAGCCTGAATGATGCCACCTGACTGCCCTTGTCAGCGTCGTCCAGTTTGCCGCCGACCTCCAGCTGCCAGTCACCGTGGCTGGCGATGTCAACGTGGGGCCGCCTAAGGTGATTGGTACTAGAAGCCGAGTTCCTATCCAGAGTTGGGGTCCGGGGCCCAGATCATCGTTCCAGATGGGCCCACCTTGTGCGCCGAGAAGAGCAAGTCCACCGTTGTTTTTTTCTTTTGGTTTCGCTGTATCGAGCATTTCCTGAAGCAGTCCTATGCCTTAGTGGACTACCCGCGCAGCCCTCAGGCCAGTCGCGATGGAAATGGTGGCGGGGGCCCCATATCTCATCCCGATCCAGGGGCAGCCTCGTCACGTGCCCGTGGTGGCCCCGTATGGGCCCAGCAACCGCCTTCCAGTCAGGGGTGGGAGTCTTGGGTCTCTGGATTTTTTGGGAAGATCTCCTGGAACAACGTCACCTACAGCAGGGTGGCCCACGAACCGGCTGTCCGAATTCGAATGGAGGTCTCGCCAGCGCAGTTGACCAAGCATATCGATATCTGGTGGACGACGTGTCCACCTCGCTCAGTATTTTAACCGACAAGCCGCTGCGCAGTCGGCGCCATCGCGCACGGGTCTTTTCTGTCCGCTGGGCGTCAGCATCCGCTCTCGAGTCCAGGGATAGGAGGAGTTTGAATGCGGCGGCAGCTTTCAGATGGTTGCGGAATACCATTGATTTCAGGGGAGGGTCGCTGAGGAGGAGTATTTTGGGGAGCTGTGCCAGGCCCAGCAGGAACTTGCGCAGCCGCCGTCATCGCACGCGCCAGTCGTTCAGTTCTCTGCCCTCCGCAACAGCGCGCGCGTGCGCGCGGGCCGCTATCTTGGGCTTCTCCAGGAGCCAGCCCGACATTCGGCTGATCGGCCCCGTTTTCGACGATTTAGACAATGAGATCTCGATGGCCCTGGGCCGCGAGACCTTCCCGGACCGCCGGGGCGACGAAGCTGCCTGGGAAGTCTGGGCCGAGGAAGCTATGATCAAATGGGTGGGGTGGGCCCGCAGGTGGCCCAATCGACTTGTCCCCTGGCAACCTCGCCGAGCTTGGAAGCAAAAACTACCCGGGTGGTCTGGTCGGCCTGAAGATCTTTGAGAAGCCCGACAGCAGCGTCTCTCGAATTTGTGGCAGGCAGCGCCACGGGGGCCATCTTCTCCTGGAGCTGATGCGAGAGGCCTTGACCTCGGACCGATATCAGCAGCGCAGCCGCGCCAAGCTAGTCGCCATGTCAGCATGACCACAGCTAGGTCTTGGGGCGGGATCCAGCCGGGCACTTCAGCTTCCTGGGGGGCCGTCATTTGGGCAGATTTTGGAAGCGCAACGATGGTCCCACCCCTGGTCCAAGCAACCGTGGTCTAGGTTTGATGCCACGGCTCTGGCGAGTCTGGGGCGAGCTTCTCCAAGTCGTGTTTCGAGCTTGGGGGCAGAGGCGCCGCCGAAAGTATCTTGCGCACCAGTCAGGCAAGGGGTTTCTTGAGGTGGTTTTGAGCCGGCCATGTATGCCGAGGGACATTTGCTGGAGGACAAGAAGGTACTCACAGGGAATGTCACCTGGGACCTCTCGAGCAACTATGAATGCGTGGATGAGACTGTTTGGGGGGCAGAGCCGAGAAAACGAATTTCTCGGATTCCCTGGTAGCCATTCTCAGTTTCCAGTACCAAGCTCTCCGCCTAGTTGCCGCCCGTTCCTCCGCCCTGCCAGCGGGCTGCCCTCGGCGGGGCATTGCCGCGGGTTGCCCGGCAGCTGCGTCTGTTGCGCAGCAGCGCTGCCAACCGCCGGTCGAGATGGGTCGTCCACGACCCTTGCGTGCAGCCGACGATTTTCATTGTTGGTTTTTTGTTGTCCAGCCACAGCAGCAGCCAGAAGTGCCCTATCAGAGACCTCGTCGATGCCTCAGCTAGCATGCGCCAAGCGATTGCCCATGATCTTACATGCAACCGCGAAGCACAAGGCTGCTGTTGTGGCCTCTTCACCTACGATCCAGGCTGATCTCGCCTCGCGCCTCGGGCGGCGGGCTGGGTCGGCAGCTGCCGACGGCGGCCGCGAACCTTCAGCAGCCAACCAACGTGTAGACTTAGCAGCAGGAACCAGAGTAAGGGGCAGGGCCAGGATCATCTGAAATCGAGCTCCAGGAGGCCCGCGATCTGTTTTTGCATATGGCTGGACCCATGTGTGCTACCCGCTCGCGCGGCATATCCCCGGCACTCCTGGGGGGCGCTGCCCCCCCCGCCTTCGGGCCCGAGTGGGTCTGGGGTTGCGCACTCCCCCCCCCCCCCCTGCGGGCCGCGAGGGCCGTTCGCGCCGCCCGCGTCGGGCGTGGCAGGGAAGCCGTTGGCCCTGCATGGTCTGCCACTCGAGATGCGTTAAAGAGGCATCCTGTCAGGCCAGAGAGCACGAGCAGCGCCCGGGCAACGCAGCTGGGCCGGCCTAGCTCCCGCTCCAACGTAATGGTCACCACTGAGCAATATAGAAGATGGATCGTTCGCCATAGTTTGTCAGAAGTGCGGCAAGCACACAGAGCGCTCGCCCGATGGGCCCCGCCAGCGGCGCCTCAACACATTCAACAACACTTTCAGCCAAAGCGCATGGCAAGCCTCGCGCGAAGGGGGGGGGGCGGGGCCGAGGGGCCAAGGGGCGTTCCAGGCCCCCATCCCTATATCCGCGCGCTGCCCCAGGGCAGCCCCGCAAGTGCTCGAGCCGCCATGGCAAAGCATCCATCCAGTCTTGACATCGCGCGCCGACGGCTTCCGCCCTGTGGTGACGTTTCCCGCGGGGGAGCATGTCCAGTCTGATGGTTCCAAATTGCCCGGGTCGGGATCAGGCTCCCGCTGGGGACCTCTGGCCCGTGGCCTTGTGGATCGAGGCGTGGCCTGCGGCTTCGTTTGAAGGCGGCTCAAGGAGACCCTTGCGCCCTCGTAAGTGGCGAGGCCTGCCGCCGTCCTGGCGTTCTCTACAGCAGGGGTCGGCGGTGCCTCGTCGCCCTGGCGTCGCTTCGTGATTGGCTCGTGCACGCTCGCGCGCGTGTGCGCGCTGTGTCTGCGCATGTGTCAGGCACCCCGCTTCAGGGGGAATGTGCGTACTCCTGCGACAGGGCTCTTCATTGCCCTCTACGGCGTCGGCAGCATTTCTCCGTCTCTGTGGCTCTCTGACACAGCCTTGGCCGCAGTGGAGAA